TTACCAAATATATACAACAACAGGAGTAGCAAAACCAACAAAGAAGAAACAAACCTTACAAATCAAAATCTTACCAAACCGAGAAAATAAATATATTTCGGCCCGCAGGATAATTCCTATTAGATCTGGCCCTCCGGTATATTGCACGCACACCTTCACTCCATCCTGAGGGTCTCCTCAGCTCAGAGCCTGAGCCCAAACATTGATGACCTTGCACCCAAGATGAGATGCCAAGTATCTGAACTAGCATCACAGAGCAGCACACTGAGTTTAATGGATGTTTCCTTCTGCACTTTCTCTCTCACGACAACAGGGCATGTTTGGTTTCTCTTTGAGGGAAATAGTTTTGTTGAAGCTGTTGTTGGCCTGTGGGAAAATGTAATCATAAGAAATGACTCTGGAGAAGCTGCAGATAGAGCCATAAGAAATGAATGAACTGATTATTTAATGTTTAATGTTGTTTTTACAGGCAATCATTTAAGCTTTGTTAGTTCCAGGTTTAATATGTGCAATAAGTTCATTTCAATAAGTTCTGCAATAAACATTGAACCAGTCCGGCCCTCCACTAGTACCCATTTTAAAATGTTGGCCCACTGTGTGTTTGAGTTTGACACCTAATATGTCGCTGTCTTTATTTTCAGGGTTGAACGCTTCGCCAGATCCCGTTGGGCGAGGAGATCGAGGAGCGAAAGTTAAACCATGGAGAGCCTGCACTCCCACTGCATGAAATGCATCAAGAGACGGTGCATGGTGCGCCCGGAGCCGGGGGTTTGCTGCGACCTGATTGGCTGCCCTCTGGTCTGCGGGGCGGTGTTTCACTCCTGTAAACTGGAGGAGCACCGGCTGCTGTGTGCCTACGAGCGTCTGCCCTGCATCAACAGAGGCTTCGGATGCCCTTTCAATATCACCCGCATCCGCATGGCCAAACATCTGGAGAAGTGTCCGGCTAGCATCGTTTGTTGCACCATGGAGTGGAACAGATGGCCCGTTAGCTACGCAGACCGCGAGTCCTACGAGAATCTGAGCAAAGACTTTGACGAGGTGGAGCAGCTGGACATGGCTCTGGCTCTGCAGGACCAGAGGATGCTGCTGGAGTCTCTGAAGGTCACCACCACCGTGTCCAAGGACAAGGACCACAAGAAGATGTCCAACGGGGCGTCAAACGTACCTGAGGTGGTGGAGATGGAAGAGGAGAAAGAGGAGGAGTCGGTGTATAACGGGGGCTTCAGAGCCTCCTTGGAAACCAGCAGGAGTTTAGCCGCCGCTCTGGACATCCTCACCAACTCCAAGGACATCGAAGTGATCGTGGGGGGGTTGAACGGAGGGAAGAACCATGTTTACGCAGCAGAAGGGGGGAAGAACGTGGACATGAAGGAGGAGGATTCAGATTCAGATTGTGAGCTGGGAGCGGTGGGAGGAGTGGACTGTGCAGTTGGGACAGAAGATTGGGTGGAGGAGAGAGACTTTGTGGAGCTTTTCTTCGAGGAGAAAGAGGTGGAGAGCATCGATGAAGAGGAAGAAACCATCGAGGACTCCCAGTTGGTGTATCCGGTACTTCCTCTGAACTCTCTTCCCATGGCGCTGCTTTCTCAGGACTTCCTTCAAGCTCCTTTACTTCCTCCAAACTTCCTTCAAGCTCCAGCGCTTCGTGCAGACTTCCTTCCCGTGGTTCAACGACCTCCAGGCTTTCTTCCCGTGATTCAACGACCTCCAGGCTTCCTTCCCGTGGTTCAGCGACCTCCAGGCTTTCTTCCCGTGGTTCAGCGACCTCCAGGCTTTCTTCCCGTGGTTCAGCGACCTCCAGGCCTTCTTCCCGTGGTTCAGCGACCTCCAGGCCTTCTTCCCGTGGTTCAGCGACCTCCTGGCCTTCTTCCCGTGGTTCAACGACCTCCTCCAGCGACCCCGGTGCCCTTCCGTCTGTCAGACCACGTGATGCGTAATGGCTTCCTGCAGCACCTCCCCTCAGAGTTACGGTTCCGCTGCCTGGAGAGGAAGCTTCAGAGCGTGGAGGTTCTCCGGGGGATCAGCATGTTCACTTTTAACGGCCGCCGGGCACTTCTATCCGACCCCTACTTGTTCCGAGCCAAAATGGAGGACAAGTCTGTGGACACGTCGGATCTGGAGGTGACGGACGACCCGATGGGGCTTCACGGCATCGACTTAATCACCGCGGCGCTTCTTTTCTGCCTCGGCGACTCCCCGGGGGGTCGCGGGATCTCCGACAGCCGCTTCGTGGACGGATATCACATTGATTTCGGCACCCAGACGTTCTCCTTCCCCTCCGCTATCCTCGCCACCAACACAATGGTTGGAGACGTGTCTTCGGCGTCCGCTTGTGATCACGCCAACCCCCAACTCTCCAACCCGAGCCCGTTCCACACGCTGCGTCTGGACCTGGTTCTGGAGTGCGTGGCTCGATACCAGACAAAACAGCGTTCTATGTTTACGTTTGTGTGCGGGCAGCTGTTTCGACGGGACGAATTCTCCTCGCACTTCAAGAACGTGCACGGGGATATCCACGCGGGTTTGAACGGATGGATGGAGCAGCGTTGTCCTCTGGCGTATTACGGATGCACTTTCAGTCAACGTCGCTTCTGCCCCTCGGTGCAAGGTTTCCGGATCATCCACGACCGGCACCTTGGGTCCTTCGGGGTGAAACCAGGCCCCCCGAGGTGTCGCAGGAGGGTAGGGTGTGACGGGGATCAGCTGAGCGGCCTTCCCTTCGAGGTGCTGCAACACGTGGCCTCCTTCCTGGACTCCTTCAGTCTGTGCCAGCTGTCCAGGGTGTCCCGCACCATGAGGGAGGTGTGTGGCAGTCTGCTGCAGATGAGAGGCATGGTGGTGCTGCTGTGGAACAAGATCAGGAGAGCGGACGGGTCCTCATCGTGGCAGATCACTGACAAGGTCAGGAAGATTGTATTTCTCTAAAAAAACACTTCCCAGGGTTCCTATATATCCTCAAACATCTTTAAAAGCTTTGCAATCATTAGAGCTGCAACTCAAAGTGTCAGACAATTCTGTTCCCAGTTACTCAAATACACGCTGCCTTAACCTGTTGAACCCCATGCTCCCGCCCCCGGGGGCAAAACACAACAATATTCACGAAACTGTGTCTCAGGGCCTCTTAACATTTAACAACCTATTAATGTGTCAGAATCAAAATGATAATTTGTTGGATTAGGAAATTGTAAAATCATCCTTTTCTGAATTTGCAATTTTGAAAACATTTAAGCTTTCAACTATAAATCGATCAAATGGGATTTTTAAACATTTATTTGGTGGGAAAAAAACCAGTTTAGCATGTCTTGTGATTTAAAATAACGAATGCACTCCAAAACAGAGTACTTAGGCGCGTTCACACCAAAAAGAGAACTTAGTGCCGGGAACTTTTACCCCCATTTTTAGTGCCTGCTGAGAGGTGGTACTCTCCTGGTACCAAAAAAGTACTAATTTCTATTGGCTGGGCGAATTGCAAACCACGCCCCGTAACACTCTGAAAAGTTTTGTGCAGCCGCCATTGTATTTGTAGGCATTAGCATTATTAGCATTAGCATTCGCCAAGCACACAAACACAGAGGGACTAACTTATGGCAACACAAAGTAAAACATGGGAGCGGTGGAGATGAGGAGGTGTCGGCGTTCTGGCGATTTACTCGGAAGGCTTCAGTAGAAGCTGCTGGGAGTCCCAGCAGCTTCGACTGGAGCCAGTCCCCAACAACCGGGGACTTCCGGTCGGGGATTTTGGGCGGCAGTATACGCCGTGAAGTTGTTTGCGGCCTGCCAGTAAACCCAAAGCAGAAGAAGAAGTGACGTCAGCGGCTTCATTTGCCTAATCCACCCCCAGGGACTTATTCCGGTGTGAACGCGATCTGTACTTAGTTCATGAGGACTAAAGGGTTCTGATGAACTAAGTTCTCATGAACCTTTGTGGGAAAAGTACTGCGGTGTGAAAGCGCCTATTTGCTGCAAGTA